GTGTGTGTGTGTATGTGTGTGTGTATGTGTGTATGTGCGTGCGTCTGTCCGGTTATTTCAACTCGGCAACCAAACAAGTTCGGATGCTGAAATTTTGCCAGTGGGTTCCCTAGCCACTTTCCATCTCAGGACTGCGGGATCATCCTTATGAGCACCGCGTACGATGCTCCCATCTTATAGGTACTTCCAGAGAAGACAAACAGCGTGCAGGATGCCATTGTGACCACGCAAGAAAGTGAAATCCGGACGTTCATAACTAATGAAAGTTAGTTGGGCAGTGGTGGAAGGTACTTGCGAGGAAGTAAATGAACACTTAGGCATCATACAAAAAGGAATGTGGATAAATCAAACGGGTTGCAGATAGTAAGTGGAAGCATAAAGCTTCCTCACGCAAACTGTTCAAAATACTCCAACAGGCAACATGGATGTCAAGATTTCCAGCAGACTGAACACCAGGAAATGCAGCATTGATCAAAGCAGTGGGAGAAGTTAACAGCTGTGTAGTTGGAGAAAGAAATTTGAGCTGTAGCTGATCAAAGTAAGTACCTTCGTAAAACGGAAGAATAATTGTAGAATTTCAAAAAACTGCAACAGTAACTCACCGACTTTCATGATCATAAAAATCATGGAAATTGCGATGAAGTACAACAGTTGATTCAATGAAGTGGCTGGTGGCAAGCATAAGCTGTATGAGAGCCAGCAATGATACCGTTTTTTTTGCTGGAAAATATCTTGGTTCGGAGCTGGCTGGTGTAGATGATTCCTTCTTGCCTTTCCAGTACTCCAGATCCTTCTCCATTCATTGGGGCTGGATAAAGTGTAGTAACATTTACTGCAACACAACGGCGTTTAATGAATGTAATGTGGTTTCTGAGATTCTTCAACCGTTACGCGTTGTAGATTTTCCAGCTCCTTTTACAAAGCATTTTGAGCCTGCTTTTCTCGATAACATTTCATGTTGACTTCAAATTCTGCTGCTGTGTAGTTTTATTTACTAATTTAGTGATCTTCTGCTATTCAGTTTCATATGT